CAGATATATGTAGATTATCATAATCTTCGTACCCTTCTACTTTTAAATTAGTAATCTAAATTCATTCATTAAGCCCATGTTTTGCAAGAATGCAATAAAGTTCATTGTCATTATATAACTTCAAGTTGTTTTCCCCTCCCAGGACTCCAAATCATCCACAATATTAATGTACATTGTACAAATGTATCATCATCATGATAAAATGTATAATATGAGTAACAATATCAGAGCAATAGTTACATGTAGTTTAAAGCTAGATCATGTGAAGGTAAACATTGTGCATTTGCCAAAAAGCAGTTACTAGAAGCAACTGGATATGATTTTGGAAATGGTCAGACGTTTCAGCTAGTATCCACTAGCTTTCGTCAGTGACTGAGAGACCAGAGGGGAAATGTAGGTTTATGAGCACAAACTATTGATTGATATGCAAATAAAGTGAAGACAATTTTTTGGAAATCAAAAAGGGAACAAAAGTCAGACAAGTAAACCTGCATTTCTCCTCTGGTCTCCCAGTCACTGACGAAAGCTAGTGGATACTAGCTGAAACGTCTGACCGTTTCCAAAATCATAGTCCAGTTGCTTAAATAACTGCTTTTTTGCATTATACATTTGCTTTTGTTTTTTCTATTTTTTTTGTTGTTGTCCCCTCTCAGGACTCCAAATCGTCCACAATGCTGATATTTGTAGAAGACAGCAGCAGGAAGCCCGCTGCAGCACCAGACCTGCCGACACCTGAGGACACCGCGGGAGGGAAGGGGGGCAAGAGGGACGAACGCAGGAAAAAGGCTGGAGGTGAGGTTTTACAGGCTCAATCCATTTATTTATTTTATTAATTTACATTTATTTATTTCATTAATTTACGAATGTTACCACATTTGTGGAATGATTGAGTCGGACATTATATAACAGGACAATCCCTTTTCAAGATATCAGCTTGGAAACCAGACTGCAATGTTTCGTCCTTCTCATTTTCAACAAACCAAGTGCCTTTCCCGAGGACATACATTTTGTAACACTTACTTATAGTCAAGGTGGTCTCATGGTTAATAACCATGAGACCACCTTGACTATAAGCATGCCTAGTACTTATTTTTATTTTATTTTTATTTGGAATTGCGACAGCAACACAAGGCCACCCAGGCAGTTCCACTGATGTTGGATGATTTCTATCTGACATTAACTGTGTATGAAATTACATCTGTTCAACTACAACTCCTGTTGACTTGCTGTGTTTGTTTGTCTGTTTGTTTGTTTACCAGAGGGTAAGACGAGCAGCGGCGGAGGGTCTGGTTACGGCTCCATGTTGATCTGCTATATGTTTATTTGTTTGTTTATTTGTTTGTTTGTTTATGCACCAGAGGGTAAGACAAGTATGGGTGGAGGGTCTGGGTACGGCTCCATGTTGACCTACTATATTTGTTTGTTTGTTTGTTTGTGTACCAGAGGGTAAGACGAGTACGGGTGGAGGGTCTGGGTATGGGTCCAGGGAGGTGAAGACCAAAGGGAAGAGTAAGAAGCAGAAGAGGAGAGAGGCTGAGGAGGAGGAGGCAGCAACCAAATCATCATCATCAGGGGGCCACGGCAGGAAACAGGAGCTGCCATTCATGACTATAGAGGTAGGAAGTATGAACATTACTAACTGTAATAATATTGTTGCCAAACTTTCTGAATGCAAAAGAGCCCTTTTTGGTTATGGGTTCAGTGGGAATGGCTCTGTAGCCTAACGTGTGCACATGTTTCCATTTTTTCATTCTTTTCATCCTTACTTAGGAAATAGAAGAAGTACTCCGTAAGAAACTCCCAGACTGTGATGATGGGTTTGTCACAGAGCTGGCAGAAGACTTGCACAGGTAATTATATATAAGTACAGTATTTGCATCAACTTTATTTATTTATTTCATCATAAGACGGCTGGGTAGCCCCATTCATCTTACATTAGCTGTTTTCCAAAGACATTGTTACATACAGTAAGACAAGAGTGGACAGCATACAGTAAACATTAAAGTTTGAAGCGTCAAAACAGAGTCATAGTCCTATACTCAAAGTCCTAGCCGTTCAAAGGTCAAAAACACGAAAATCAACGAAAAGAACTTAATGAACTTTGGTTTAAAATTAGAAATAGGAGATTCAAAAGCAACCATAAGATAGCAAGACATGAATGTTAACTATGGTGTTGTACAATTTTTCAAAACGATCAGTTTTTTTTACAGAAATTTGTTCTATAACCTACACAGGACAGTGGAAAATGATAAAAGTTTTAATTGTCTTGGATGTACAGTGTATTCTGTTTTCTCTAGATTTCTGGATACTAAACATAATATATATACTTTTGTGTTCATTGTTTCTGTCCACCGACCGTTCACTAAAAGTTTCTAGGAGGTGGCTAAGTCAGTGTCCCTGGTGGCAGTGTATATATCACTCACTCACTCACTCACTCACGCACTCACTCACTCACTCACTCTCACTCACTCACTCACTCACTCACTCTCTCACACACTCACTCACACACACACACTCACTCACTCACCCACTCACTCACTCACTGGTTTTCTCCAGAGTCAGCATTCCTGTTCTAGATATATATCTTTAGTGTATATATGCTAAAGGTCATTACATTTACTCAACATGTGTTCATTGTTTCTGTCCACAGACCGTTGACTAAAAGTTACCAGGAGGTTGCCAAGTCGGTGTTTCTGGCCTCCACCGGTGGTGGCAGTGGTACCTCCAGGAAGGAGACCCACAGAGACCTGCAGGAGAAAGTCACCGGCCTCTGGACCAACATAAAACTGTTCGAGAAGGGCCTCAAGCTGTTCGAAGGTGAGTCATCATCATCGGTCAACCGTATTGGTCGGGGTTATACTGCCCCTTACGAGCTTACGAGAGACCCTTTCGTTAGCTTAATACAAGACGGGGTTCGCCTCCGTTCTCGTGATGATGTAACCACCATCCCCAAACACAGGACCTCCATTTAACGTCCCTAGCCGAAGCTAGGTACTCATTTACACCTAAGTGAAGTGAGGAAAGTCGTGTAAAGTGCCTTTCCTAAGGGCACAAGTTCAGTGGCATCGGGCAGGATTCGAACCCGCGCCCTCTCGAGTCTGGGCCGAAGACGCTACCGCTACGCCACACGACCCCATAATCTGTATTCTGTATGTTGCAGAAGAGGCCCAGAGCCAGCTGGCCAAGCATCTCCTGAAGACTCTGTGTACAGACGTCACCAACATGCTGGTCAACTTTGTGGCCTCCGAGCAAATGATGTCTGTGAACGATCCCAAAGCTATTACCATAGAGGTGACAAGTTATTTTATTTTATTTTATTTTATTCACATATATTTATTGAGTATTGTGCAGGAAGCAAAAGTTGCTTAATATATAACACCTTCTATTTATTTATTTATTTATGAAGATTTACCACGTTTGTGGAAGGATTGACATAACAGGTGACTACCACCTTTTCAAAGATGTCAACCCCGAGACCAGGCTGTAAGGTTTGAACCACTCACACCGGGAAGGTGCCCTACTCTTTTCGATAAGTGCGGTGGGTTCTTTAACGTGCGTGGGGTGTGACTCTCCCAAACACGGGACCTCCATTTTACGTCCTATCCGAGGGACGTCCCTAGCCAAAGCTAGGTACTCATTTTCACCTGAGTAAAGTGAGGAAAGTCGTGTAAAGTACCTTTCCCAAGGGTACAACGTCGGGGCGCATATTCGGACTTGTTCGGGTACGAACCGGAATCGAACCCGGGTCTCCCCGCTTCGTAGTCCAGTGATGTACCACTACACCACACGACGCCACAACTACACCACACGACGCCACTCAAAAACGTACGAGTATAAAACACATTGACGAGATACATGCATAATTACGAGATGGATAAGGAGATAAATACAAACAAGACAAGTTGGTGATCTATCAATGACGAGAATCTACCCATACAGTAAATGAAGTTTTGAACTATATCGAAAACATTGTGAGGTGACAAGTTACTACATTATTTAATCTGAGTATATTTTTTTGTAACACTGTGCAAAAAGTGAACAAGTTTATTGATTGATTGATTTATTCATCTTGGGTGCATGTGGATAGTCTGTTCAGCTCAAAATTAGGAGGGCCAATTTCTAATATCAATTTCAATTTCTATTTTTTAATTTCAATTTCAAAGAATACAGTACAAGCTTAGAGACTATATGACATACATGTGTAAAGCAGTAATGATCAAACATAGGAGTGATAAGTCATCGGAACAAAAAAAACCCAAATGAACTAAACATTGGCAACAAAAAAGGTCTTATACTGACAATGCTCCAATTACGAGCAGTACAACAGTGTGTACAATCATGTAATTATGTGCATGAGCCCTGGCATTTTTTCCTTATGCCACACCAATTTAATTTCTTGGTTAACGGATTCGCCCGCTTCATATTTTTTCTGATTTGCAAAAAAAAAAAAATTCAGAATCAACTGCAAAATGTCCATATTTCAAACAGTCCTTTTCTTCCTAGTTGTTACAGTTATTCCATCTTTCAATGCAGTGGGATCATTGTTTAAATTTTGAACCAGCCTGGTGTGTTGACTTCATGGCTCCTATCGTACCATTTTGGGCCATAATAGGATGCCTCTGCCTGTTTTTATTTTTATCTTTTTCGCTCGCCCGCTCCATTATTTTTCTAGAAAAATCCGTTAGCCAAGAAATAAAATTGATGTGGCCTTAAATACATGTAATTCCTGAATTTTTCTCACCCATCACTTTCAATGCTTTCAAATATTGATTTTTTTTTCCTGTTCTTTGTCTGCCCACAGATGCGCTTTAAACTCATCTCAAATCTACCAGAGCACATTAAAGAACCAATGACCAAACTACACACGTCACTAGCAGGAAAGGTGAGATACTTGCTTTAAGATGATGTCTATTCTGTGCATAATATGCAAATTTAGGAGGTTTCTATCTCAGGCTGGTATCTTATAACCCACAGTATATAGTACTACTGATACTGTACCTGATTTTGACAAGCAACTGATAAAAAAGAATGCCCAAAAGCAGTTACTCAAGCAACTGGATATGATTTTATTTTGGATATACAATGTATTCAGGCGTAAAATCCACTACCTTTCGTCAGTGACACTAAGAGATTGCAGCAGAAAGGCAGGTTTATAAGAAAAAACTTTCAGTATTTTCCGATGTCTACATCAACGTTTACAAATGCACATCTTTCTGTACAGCAAGTAGATGAGTTCCTCTCAGCCCTGGAGACTGTAGCAGGAGAGATGCAGGTGATGCTGAAGAAAGCTGACAAGAAGAAAGAAAGGTATGAAAATTTGTTACTGATTTAGTAACAGCATTAGAGTGACTGAGTGTATAATTTTGCTCAAGCTAAAGAAAAGAAAGTGAAAAAAAAATTAGATACACTGGCATATGTTGCATTTGTAATTTACTTATACATTTAATCTTCAAAACATCATTCTACCCTGATATGATACTTTGTTAAATTCCAAGAGGTCCAAGAAAAAACAGGGAAAATTGGTAATTTGGTAAGCTACATAACAGAAAGTGAACATACTGCATTTTCTGAAATTAACAGAAAATTGTGTACAAAAGGATGTATGAATACAAGATGTATGAATAACTAATTGGAAGCAAGTCCAAAATAGAGTTGTGTCTTTTACTGTTAAAAACCTGTGTAATATTGCCGTGCAATTGGTTGAAGTAGTTTGCACCTGTATATGACCTATGTCACATTTCCACCTTGCAGACAGCTGGTGTTTAACCACCGTCAGTCCCTGAGTGAGGAGCTGGGGAGGGAAGAAGAGCCTGCCACAGTGTTACATCTGGCCGTGCTCCTCTTGTTCCAGCAGGTTCGTACTACATTTTATGTCCTACCTGGGCCGCGATTACGTTCGATACGGGTGTTCCGGCCCGTGTGATAACTAGCGGTACGGCCCGGGGCTTCCAAATGTTACATAGAACGATTCGAACGCGTTTCACCCTAACCGCGTGCAACGCTTTCAAAAATTCGAATGCAAAATTCGGACGTTGGAATTGATGTTGTTGCACTTTTTGGGTTTAGGGACACCAACTTTCTGCTCATCTTGCATTCAAAGGCGTGTTTTCTTGGGTGGGTATGACATAAATAAAATACAACACGGTGTATTCCGCATCGCCCTCGGTCCCGGCCCTCCCGCGAGTCGGGCCGATACCTCGGGCGATACGGAATACCCCGTGTTGTATTCTATATGTATGCTCATAGATTACGTAGGCAACACCAAGTAATTTTTATGTATGACATTCGAGATCTGAATGTTGATTATTTTCCTACTGTCCCAGAAATGTCCCAAAGTGTCTTTTTAGTTGTTCTGGCCTAAATTTTACTGGTCAGTGGCAATCGGACCACCTTTGATTTCGAGCCCTGGTGATATAGCTATCTGTAGCCGTGCCACGTGCCCGTGAATCTGGTGTGTCATGCCAAGATGTTCTGAGAATGATATTTTCAGTGTTTGAAGAGACTCTTTTTACACAACCAAGTCTTTTATTCAGCCGACGTTTTGGTGACCGTCTGTCACCTTCCTCAGGGCAATTCTGACTGATTCACATTGCACTGCAGCACAGGTGTCGCTGCTACAGATGCAGCATTCCCTGAATAAAAGACTTGGTTGTGTGAAAAGAGTTTTTTCAATCAGCGTCTTGCCAACCTGATAAAACTACAGTATTTACGAATGATATTTTCAGCCAGTGAAAATTTATGAACACAAATACATCAGTAGAAATGTCTGCTGTTCCGCAGGTGTCTCATGCCATGGTGCACGCACCTGGCAGGTGTGTTCCGCTGGTCATCTCCCACCTGCAGCAGCATCTGTCTGCAGAGCAGCACGGAAAACTCACCAACTTCCAGGGTAAGCAGCGAGGTATTGTACTCTTGTCTCTCAGAGTACAATGCTGTTTTTTTATATCATACCTTCGATATTACTGTGTTTGGGACTGGGCCGTACTTTACCTGTCCACAGAGCAGCATGGTAAACTCACCAACTTCCAGGGTAAGGATAGACATCATCTTTTTCTGTCAGGCCCTGATTGGGCCTCCTCCCTGAGAGCTTGTGGTCATACATGTACACCTCTGACGCAAGAGAACCATTTCCATTCGCAGAACTACCAATAGACAAACTTGGTATGAAAATTTGAAAAATGTTACCAAGATACATGTAGCTGGGCAGCTTTGCACATCTGGTGGCCATGTCTGTCCTTGGTGCAGCACCTGCCCACAGAGCAGCACGGAAAACTCACCAACTTCCAGGGTAAGCAGCGAGGAATTGTACTCTTGTTTCTCAGAGTACAATACTGTTTTGTATATCATACCTGTGCTATGATAACCTTTGATAACAGTGTGCCGGACTGGGCCGTACTTTATCTGTCTGCAAAGCAGCACCAAAAACTCACCAACTTCCAGGGTAAGCAGCGAGGTATTGTACTCTTGTCTCTCAGAGTACAATGCTGTTTTTTTATATCATACCTTCGATATTACTGTGTTTGGGACTGGGCCGTACTTTACCTGTCCTCAGAGCAGCATGGAAAACTCACCAACTTCTAGGGTAAGGGTAGTAGTAGTATCCAGTCTTTGAGTATACTGCTGCGGCTGTCCCTGACATGGATGGAGAGCAGCCTGTCTGGCTGATTAGGCCTGGTCACTGAGAGCTTGTACACCTCTAACTCAACAGAACCATTCCAAGAACTACCAGTAGACAAACTTGAAAATAACTAGAGAGGCCGACATTTGCTTGGGAGCAAATACATCATATTTCAGTCCATCTCCCTCCCACGCAAAAGTGGACTATTCCAAACTTACCCCAGTGTAAAACTGGCAAAGATTCTCAAATAAATGAATTGTATAGTAGCTATGTAATTTTTTTTTTCTAATCAATGCAAAATGAACCTGGTCTTTACATCGTAATCGATGATTTTCGGTTCAATATAATGTCACATCACAATCAATTCCCCTCGTTTAATTATAAGTGCACAGTCACATTCGATCCCAAAATTGTCAGATACATTATACATAATTGCATGGTACAAAATTAATTGTCATAAATTAGAAAATCTCTAATTGAGAACAAAGATGCAAGAACAAGCACATTGAATCTCGAAAGCTTTACTAATCTTCTTACAGGTATGCAAATACTATTATATCTATTATATAAACAATGATGAGATTTGATACATTTTGAAGGTCTTAGGCAGATGTGTGGGTCATTTCGCATGACTTACGTGCAATGTGACCTCAGGTAACCCGCAATGGAACACGTGTTCCATGGCCAACGGCAGATAGAACGTGCCATTCTTTAGATAGAACATGGAACGGGTATAGCACTTTTGGCCCTTTTTTTGCTGAAAATAGCCATTAAAGTCCCCCAAATGAGTCATTTGAAAGTGGTGTATGCCAAATATGTGACTGCTGTTCTGTAGACACATGTTCAAGGTACCCTTATACCAAATTTCAGATCATTTGGTTGTAAAACCAGGGCTCAGGATCCAAAAATCCATTTTTTGGCAAAAAATGCCCCAAAAAACCTTCATAAAAATTTTTCAAAGGCATGTATCAAAAAAATGAAAAAAACGCCTGGGGGTATTGGCCCACTCTACCTCCATGCCAAATTTCAAGTCATTTGGCTGAATGATGGCGGAGTTGAATCCCTCTGACTGTGTGGCAGGAGGAGGAGAAGAAGAAACATCAGAGAACACAATATATTTCATCCATACCATGGTATGGACTGAAATATAAAAATGTTATCAAGATAGCCAGTCAGTACCCTAGGCCTGGGCAAACTTGCCAGTCAGCACAAGGGGATGAGATGAAGTTATAGAACTAGAAAAGTAACATTAATTTTGCAAAGCAAATGCATAATGTTTACCTTCGGATATGATCTGCTTTGTTAATTCTTACTCAAACACATTCACATACATGTACATGGTGACAGGAGTCTAAATGCCTACTATAAAATTGCAACATTATGTAACCCAACACCAGTTACTATGGTGACAGACGTCAACAAAAGAGGCCATTGGCTAGGTCAGAGGTTAGTGTTTGGAACAGAAGAAGAAATGGAGCAAAAACAATGTTTTCCTTCGGTAAACATAATAAATGTTACCAGACTGAGTATTCCAAACGTGGACACAAGTTGTGTCTTATAGCACGATAGCCAATCAGCACCAAGGAGAGGATAGAAAAACAGCAACCCTTAAATTCTATATCATAATTTACTTACAATATCAGTATTGATATCATGCTGACAGATCTGGTGGCCATGTCTGTCCTTGGTGCTGACAACACTAACCCAGCAGATTGACAATTGAAATTTCATCCACAATCCAGAATGTCAATATAGAGCAATCCATGTATGTAGTCACTGTGTTACCATATCAAAATACAGTAACAGATTGTTACCTAGTCCAAGACAGAAGTTGTCATGTTTTGCAGCATGATAGCCATTCAGCACCAAGGAGAGGAGCAATACATACATCCAGCAATTAGCATTGTAACACTTAAGAAGTATCTATTTTTATTATGATTGCTTACCATACCTCCTGACTATTTGCAGACCTGGTGATCAGGTGTGTGAAGGCGAAGCAGCAGTCAGGCGAGGACGGAGACAACGATGCCGAGAATCTGTCCACAACGCTGCACAGACTCGTACCCGACATCAAGGACATGGCACTCAACCCGAGAAAGGCATCCGGGGACCAGGAGGACTAACTATAGATGGAGTACATTCGGGACACATAATTTTACTTTTGATTTGGACTCCTGTCACCAAATCAGCAGCAGAAAATGTCTTAAAAATAAAAATATGATTTGCATATATTTGTCTTTAAAAACATGTACTGGTAGCCTCTGCCAGGCTTTAGGAAACTTTGAGAGGTGGCTAATGTACTCCATTAGCGATTTGGCCAATTTCTACTCTAACAACTTCCAAAGCCTGATAAAGGCTAGTCCTGGATGCAAAAGCAGGGTACAATGTTTAAAATACCAGACTCTAAAAAATACTACTACAACCTGTTAATTGACGTGACAATGTGTAATGCTGCACAGACTTGTACCTGACATCAAGGACATGGCACTCAACCCGAAAAAGCCATCCGGGGATCAGGAAGATTAACTACAGTCAGATTCATCCTCTTCGTACCGCATTTTGGAATCTCCCAAAATCTCGCTCAGCAGAAAATGTATTCAGATAAAAATCTAGGATTTTAGGGTTTTGTTTCTACAGTACAGACTCGTACCCAATATCAAGGACATGGCGATCAACCCCAAAAAGGCATCCGAGGATCAGGATTAACTATAGATAGATTTACCCCCCACACACTCCAAATACCACATCTGGGAAATCTAATTTTACAATTCTGAATCAGCAGAAAATGTTTTTCAATAAATATCTAATTTGTATATTCATGTCCTTAAGTACCGATAGCCACTATCAAGCATCAGAAGCTTCGGGAGGCGGCAAATACTCCTTTGGCAATCCAACTCCCCTGGCATGTTGTCTATTTTGCCAATTTCTATTCTTTCCAGCCACTTCTGAAGCCTGGTAGAGGCTAGTCCTAGAGGGCTAAATGCAGATTACAGTAAAATGCAAGGACTTACAAAATATTACTACAACCTGTTATTTGACATGTCAAGATGTAATTACGAAAAGAATGTACCCTTCTGATACACACAGATAGATATCTTTAACATTAACAAGATCTTTGAGACTTTGTCTTTTATTTGTATTTCTTTTATTGTGGTTGCAAAATCATTGTATGAAATTACAAAGAACTGTCGATGCAAATATTATTCTGTATGAGAAAGTGCCACATACATAAATGTTTCTGCACTCCCAGTTACATCTGATGTTTAAGGCATTTTGCTATTGTTAGCTTGAAGACAGACGTCTGGAAAGGACAACAACAGAGAGCCATGGTCTTTGGCAAGTGCAGAACTATCCATTTCTTCTAAAAAGCTACATTCTTCCAACATTATGGAACAATCAAACTGTTCAGACATCTAACGACAGAGTGATTTAGTCAAAAGTTCCAGTGAGTCTAACGTATTGAATTGACAAACATATACATTGTTTCATAATGTAACTTCCCAACTTCCCAACATTTCATGGTCACTTTTCCGACAGACGTCAACAAATCATGTCATTTGTCAGGTCAGAGGTTACTGAAGAAGAGGAGGAAGAAACTGAGTAAAAACAATGTGTTTCCCTTCGGTAAACATAAATACAGCAGCAGCAGGAGTGTTGATTCTAGTAAAACGTTGATCTGTATTCCAACACAATTACACAGAGATCAAATTTTCAGCGACCACTGTCGCCTTCATCAGGATAATTAATCACTTCACAACGTGATCTCGCGAGAGTTACGGTTACAAACACGTGAACTTATTCACACGAGACTTTACTGATACAAGACGTGAAGGCGACAGTGGTCATTGAAAATTTGATCTGTGTAAATTGTGTGTTGGAATGAAGTTCAATGTTTTACTATGATTACTACCAACACAGATGAACTTTCATGATAATCTGAGTGTTGGTTCTGTTGACCTAATATACCGAGTGTTGTGCAGGGTCGAACACGTCAGTCTTGTGATCTGCAGGGTTCGGCGCAAGTTCATAGTTAACTATCATCACCTCTTGTCTCTGCATCTGTGGGGAGAGAACATAAGTCGCATCAGTAAGAAGGCCTTATTTTAAGACTTTTGAATGACTGTTTCTATATACTAAAATCACCCTCTCATTATGAAGAAAGCGGGACAGTGCATCATCCACTGCCTTATGCTTGATCAGGGGTGCCAGAGTATACAGGGCAATTTTACGGTACAATAGTATAGCAATTTTACTAGTATACAGTGCTAGTAAAATCGCACTGTATACTATGGCACCCCTGTTGATAGAGAGTAGTTATAGACAGTAGTTGTAGTTGAAAATTTACTGTTACTATACTTTTACTTTGACCTTATTGCGACTGACTGTCCTGGCCAATTACCCTATTTCCACAAGGAAGGCCTGTTGGAGGCTGACAAAACAGATACATAAGGCCCTGGATACCTCTGTATACTCTCCCCGTAGGCCGATGTAGTACACTCTGGTGCTGTCAGCTCCAAAGTTCCCAGGGAAGTAGATAGAAAGGTGGTGAACACTGGAGAATCTCACCACTCTGGAAGGAGAAAATACATGTTACATTCAGGCTGACTAGTGTGGAATGACGATGGAACAAACTAGACTTAGGCAGAGTCTCTCCTCCAACTCGAAAATGAACTGGCGAAGACCCTGCTGCATTGAGTCCCACACACACACACACACACACACACAAACACACACATCCTTGTATATTATTAACATGCTAAATTCATTCACAGTCAGTTGCAGTGGGCGGCCCCTTGGCCACACAGTTGTGCAATCACTACAGCAGGGGGCAGGTCTAGTGATGTGTGTGTTTAACTCAATTCTCTTTCCTAAATGCTGAGTGCTAAGCAGAGAAAGCACCATTTTGAAAGTATGACTCGGCCAAGGATCAAACTCAAGACCTACCAAATGCAAACCTTACTTTGCCATTGCACAAAATTGAACTACATAAAACCTAATTTTAAGGAATATCACTATCAGTATAGTCGGTATAACCGCCCTTTGGCGTAACACACCAGCTTCGCAAGCATGTGGCACGCGGGCAGCTAGCTATATCACACCCAATGACTTGTTACACTCAATCTTTGCACATTTAACTGCAGGAGTTGTTTCAAGATTTCTAGTGATGATGCCCCAACTGTGCTTGGTGGCAATGAGTTCCACTCTACGAATAATGTGATAGAATTGCCTACTTGGTGTGATACTCCACCACCCCGGCCGGGTCGGGCTGGAGCTCAAACTCCTGGTCTGCCTCCACGTGGACGTCATCAAACGTCATGTGTTCACGGTTCTTATACCTAGCAAACAAACACACAACAACAGTCACTACTCATACTCATGTGGACGTCATCAAATGTCATGTGTTTACGGTTTTTAAACCTGGCAAACAAACAAACAAACACAACAACAGTCACTACTCATACTCGTGTGGACGTCATCAAATGTCAGCACTTACACGTTACATATGAGGAACTGGAAAAACTGGTTGCATGTTAACATTTGTTATGCCAGAGTTATAGATGTTACTCAAAACATCCAGAAGTAATCTCCGTATCCTATCCAGTAATAGAGCTTGAATTGTCTATGAGTATCTATTTTCAGCCTACTGGGTTAATGTGGTTAAGTACGTAGTGCCTTCAGTACCAAGGACAGGCATGACCTAAAGCCATTCACAGTAACAAGACTTCCTAAAATGCAGGTATGTGCTCCAGAACTAGTCAACACTTAGGCTGGTATGAAGGTTTACTTGGATGTCTTACATCAAATTGATACACATGTAGTAACAATGAATTCCTCCCAAAGACAGGAAAGAACAGGTAACTAAATTGTAGTGCAACAAAAGACCTATAATAACTGAAAATCCTCACAGTTTCATACGATCAGGGTGTTCCTCGTCTTCCCCTCCTATTATGATCACTCCTTTCAACTTCACCAGTCCTGTAAACCTGGGGGAAACACAAGAGGTAGAAGTGCCATACTCATCAGGGCTCGAAATTCAACCTTAAAAATTAGGTGCACCATATAAAACAAAACCTTATTACAGATCTTACTGCTCCTGGTATGAGCTTGAATCTGAAATGGGGGCTAACTTACAACGAAGAATTTATTCTTTTTCTGACACTTGTATGCCAAGAATATCCTGCATACTATTATACATTTGATATGTACAAAAATACCTACAAAAACATTTGGGTCCAGTGCACCCACAGAAAAAAAAACTGGGTGCACAGCTCCAAATTTGGGTGCACTAAGGTGCACATGCACCCAGTATTACCAGCCCTGCACACTGTTATTATATACCAGTAATACTGAGAAACACCTACCTATTTTACAAATTTCTATCCTACATGTACAACATCATGACACAACTGGCAATTGTCAGTGCATAAAACTCAACATGTCCACAATGGAAGTTGACACATCAACAAGTGAGAAGAGATTTTTCTTCACTGCACTCCACATCACTTGTAGGTTGCAAATTACAAAGAAATTTTGTGTGAGAGTAAAATATAACAAATGTTCATTTTAACCACTTACTTATCTTTCCCCGGCTTTAACATTGTAGATGTCCTGGCATTTACAAACTGACAAAAAGATATAATAGACGTCTGACTTACGGGATGTTGAAAAGTAGTTCCTCATCTGCATCACTGTCCACATACTGTCAACAAAAGGTTACTGTTAGTAACACAGTTGGATGTGACCATACCGGTGTCAATGCTAATTTTAATTTTTTTTAATTTTTTTAAAGTATGCCATCCATCCATCTGCATCCACACACAAACACACACACACACGCACGTGTACATACACACACACACACACACACACACACAGACACACACACACACACACATGTACACGCACACATACATGCACACACACACACACACACATGTACACACACACACACACAATGTACACACATGCACACACACATGCACACACACACACACACACACACACTGTACACACACACACACACACACACACATGTACACACACACACACACACACACACACACAGGAGCTTTCAACTACTTTTAACTTCCTGTCCCTAATGAGTAATGTGCCAATGGAAATAACAATTTTTGAAAACACATTTAGCAAACACAGACAAATTTACCACAAAACCATATATATACATAGATCTGAAGTAACAGAACCATCAGATGTGTTACGTACTTGACTTTTGTCCAGTCGTTCGTTCCAGGGTTTGAAGACCTCGTTTCCCCGACCCCTCCACTGTTTCATTCAGACACTCCACCCTGTCCTTGTCTATCTTCAAGTACAGGTTGTACTGAACACCTATCTCTGGACTGTCATGATCATGGTCATGGTCATCACCTGGGGAACAACAGGACATACAACATGTTAGTCTTCAAGTTCAAGTACAGATTGTACTGTACCCAACAACATATTAGTCTTCAAGTTCAAGTACAGGTTGTACTATATTCCAATCTCTGGGCTGTCATGTCATTGTCATACAACATAGGGCAATTCACAGTACTTTAAAGGCCAAAAATATGATATATTATTATGACGACATAGTTTGCAAAAGTGCATGGGGAGAGGGGGTAGCATATTTGAATGACCCATTGGCGTCAACAGTATATGGAGCAATGCAAATGAGAAAAGTTAACATGAGCAACCTAAATGACCTACCTCCATGCCCGTGGCCTCCACAGCCGTGACTGTGACCGTGACCGTGGTGCGCCATGCAGTCTACTACTAGTAACCAAAACCTCCTTTATAATATTTGTGACGCCACAAACTACGCTGTAACTCTTCACACTACGTGAGAAAAAGCTGGCCGAAAAGCTGGTTTATGGCACGGAATAAAACACACGTTGTCAAGTTCAAGGACAGTTGTTGAACCTGAGAAATTATGAGAATGCACGTCTGGCATGCACTGCACAGTCACAACAACAACGTGCACTACAAGGGTCAAACGGGGTCAGCTCGGTATTAAACTGGATCCATGACGTGAAACGGATATGACGTTATGCTCAGTCCACCTTCTAAACTTTTGTTTTGGCAGGGTCTGTTGTCAAATTATCCAACTTATGCCCAGTTTAAATGTTCATATGCCCTTTTCTTTAGAAGATGGCTAGTAAAGACAAGTACTTCTCGTGATTTGAAGCACAAATTCGTGTAGTGAAGCGACCTCTGGCGATTTCTGCCAGGTTGCATCGTACGTGACCTGTATGCGGTTTAGTACCGAGCGCTATTATGGCGGATTCTCTTCAAAAACCGTCCGACGGAGCTAGTCTTTCCTCCATGGACGAAACAACACACAGGACAGAACGGTAAGCTAGCGCCAAATGAGCGTGAACATCTGAAGATCTAATCTGTGTACATATATCCTGGCAAGGTGTGGATTTGGCGGAGAAATCTGCAAGAACATGCATAGTGGGAGGGGGGCAATTAAGTTTCGAATTTCGTATCTGCCACTTGTAAACGCAGGCAGGTGTATTAAATTTTGTATAACAGGTGGGGACGTAGAGAAAAGCGGTGTAAAATATTAACGTTTTTCTTTGAATATGGAAGTATGGGATCGTGAAGATCAGACTGAAATAGTAACTTTAGAGATCGTCTGCATCAAATCATGTTTTGATGTCGGTTAGACAACTGCTAACGGACCGGTAACGTTGTAAAGTGATCTTGGCACGGAGTAAAGAGACTCTTTTTAGTACACAACCGAGTCTTTTATTCAGCCGATGTTTCGGCGACCGTCTGTTACCTTCCTCATGGCAATTCTGACTGGTTCACATTGCACTGCAGCACAGGTGTCCATATGCAATGTGAACCAGTCAGAATTGCCCTGAGGAAGGTGACAGACGGTCGCCAAAACGTCGGCTGAATAAAAGACTCGGTTGTGTAATAAGAGCTGAACTGCTGAATTAAATATACCGGACCGGTAACGTTGTAAATTGATCATCTTGACATATTTACGTGCGGCTGTCTGCTTTCAAAGGTAGATATCCATCAGTCACAGGGGTTTTTCTAGAAAAATTTAGCATGAGGGAGCAGATCGCAAGCATGGCAAGGAACGAAGCGACCAAGGGGGAATTTTTAATAAGAGTAACACAGTTTGTAATGCTAGAATAGTGTTGTATTGCTTTTACATCTTTTCTGGAAAAAGATCATTTTGAGAAAGACTAAATGGTGTTAAGTAGCCACTTAAGGTTCAATCTGAAAATTGATATGAAGGAGCTGGCTGGTTACATGAGGGAGCAGCTCCCTTATTCCCCTGTTTAGAAAAACCCCTGAGTCATATACCACCTACATTTTCAATGTTCAAAGTGTAAAAGAATTATTAATGGCAATAGTTTTGGAACAGGTTTTAGTTTGATTCTGAGCAGTGCAGGTAAAACTTGTCAAATCTGCATGGTGCAGGTAATTTTTGATTTTACATGCACCACTGCTGGTATACAGAAAGAAAGTATCTCGAGCCTTGGCAGTTTAAACAATGTTCACCAGTGTGAATTTATATATTCAGGTTAAAAAGAAGCCGTACGTCCGAGAAGATGGCGGGCCCAGCAGACAGAGGTCACAACCTGGCCCATACCATTGCTAACCCTCAGGGGCTCTTCTCTCCCAAGATGTCCCCCATCAGGGCAATGGTACGTCCCAATTGTACACTTCTGTTTGTCAATGGTGAAGTTTTATAGCCTCAAGTCCAAGCACTGGACTTAAGTTGTTGTAGCCTTCTCACGTATGTTGAAATACATCTGTTTATAAACAGATTAAAATTACAGTAGAAAGTTATATTCTATTTCTAGTGATAGTCCAGTGGTTACTAGTAGACCCTACCTCTGGGCTGAGAAGTAAGAGGTTCGAATCCAGGCAATTGTTGCTCACCCCATATGCATGCTTACTGGACAGGGTCACAGTCCTTAAGACATTAAACCGTGGTCCACTGTTCCTTGTGCTTGTTGAATTTATAAGAGCTTTAAGAAATGTCCCCTGTACAATGAACCTGTAAGTACTGTACAATGAACCTGTAAGTACTGTACAATGAACCTGTAAATACTGTACAATGCACCTGTAAGTACTGTACAATGAACCTGTAAATACTGTACAATGAACCTGTAAGTACTGTACAATGAACCTGTAAGTACTGTACAATGAACCTGTAAGTACTGTACAATGAACCTGTAAGTACTGTACAATGAACCTGTAAGTACTGTACAATGAACCTGTAAGTACTGTACAATGAACCTGTAAGTACTGTACAATGAACCTGTAAATACTGTACAATGAACCTGTAAATACTGTACAATGAACCTGTAAGTACTGTACAATATGTCTTCTCTGTCACCAAGAAGAGTTAGCTTTTCATTCAAGGTTAACTGGTTCAAAATCACTTTCACTTGTTGGAAAGTATTTCAAGTTGGACTCGGAGGCTTTTCAGAAATCATCCTACTGACAATTGTACATTTGCTGTGTTCCCGTGTCCAGGGAAAGTCCTGGGGAGGCAGTGGTGACCGACCAGACCGGCTGGTCAACAGGAGCGACCTGTTCGGTACTCCGTCGTACCGCTCCCCACTAGACCTGGTTCGCACACGTCCGACCGCTGTGGCCAGTCAACATGCGAACACTGCTGCACAACAGGTAAGTCTTAGCTACGTCTGGCATGGGTAGGTAAAAGTGGTAGTCCCTTAGTCTGGTGAAGCTTTGGTACTCCGTCGTACCGCTCCCCACTAGACCTGGTACACACACGTCCGACTGCTGTGGCCAGTCAACATGCGAACACTACTGCACAACAGGTAAGTCTTAGCTACGTCTGGCATGGGTAGGTAAAAAAGGTAGTCCCTTAGTCTGGTGAAGCTTTGGTACTAAGCCAGTCAGCACAGCAGCAATGCTCCACAACAGGTAGGACTTAACTCCTTTAGAACTGGAACGGTTCCACAAAATACATTTTTACTACGTCATGTATACATGTCAAAATGGGCTGATAGAACTTGAAACGGTCAAACCTAGAACAAGTGACCACCTCTACATAAGGACCACCTGACCAATGTGACCACTTTTTTATGATCCTTTCGATTAATTTTCCCACTGACACAAGCATTAATAATCCTGTCTATAGTGACACCTGTCCATATATACCAAATTTTATCAGTCCCCAGAATGGTCTTCTTGGGCAGTTTTGACTGTAATTCTTGCAAATACTGTAGACGGATGATTGTGAATTCCAATTTTCAATACTTCCCCTATCCAAGGGTACAATTGCTAAAGGACTCATTATGTCAAACGAATTCAGAAACTGGTTTCCTCCTTCCCGCGGCGATGTCAGCTCCAGAGACACTAGAAATAAACACCTTCTGTCCACATTCAAAGCACGAACAAACAGATACAAGAACAGTCCCATTCCGTACATGATAAAACTACTAAACGAACAGTAACAGTAACCTCTCCACATTTAGAATGTTATTATTATATGTAAATATTAATATTTGAACCAAATGCCAATTTGTATATAGCCTAACTCTTTATGTGAAAAGTATGTAATTCAGCCACTTTATTTGGCTGCGATGTACTTTTTAAGGATCATGTTGATGTTGATCAAATAAACCAGTCATTCATTCATTCATTCATTCACAATGTTGATAATCCCGTCTTCATCTGAAACCTCCTTCTCCTTTTCTCTCTAGATCTTAACATGATGGAGGTCTGTTCCTCTACTGTTACTCATCCTTCATGTAAGCTTAACTCTTCCATTCTATTCTATTCTATCTCCTTCTATATAGCATACATAGCCTGGGTACCAGTGATGCATACCGGTTCACTGGACTTGGATCCGGAATGTAAAATAAGAATGTTTAGGTTCAAGTCCAAAAAAACCTAAAAGTCAAAAACCGAGTCCGGACTTATTACCATAAAAGACCATTTCACATACCCCTTTTCTTTCCAAACCACCTAAAACCTTCCGTAGATTGCAAAATCTTTGCTGCATAATGAAGAAAACATTGCCATCGGGCATCGTCAAGTGTTGGCCTCCATGTTATGTGGCCAGAGTTTCACCCAGACAACATTGCAAGGTGGCCAACATGCAATTTTGTACATGCCATGGGTTTAGGTCCGGACTTACAAGTCTGGAACTAAACCTCTGGACTTGAATCCGGACCTGAACCTAAATATGGGTTTAGGTATGCACGACTACTGGGTACTGTAATCCTCAGCCTGAATTTCTTGTCGTTTTGAGACAATGAAATTGCTAATGCCACCGTATTTTCTGGAACCAGAACAATATTTCCCAGTTCTTATGCCATCATGCTATTATGGTATACTTGTGATAAATGCACATTTGTCCCCCCCCCCCTCTAGGAACCTGAGCCCAGTGATACCACAGTGGGAGCAGATGTGTCCACATCCCTACCTAAACAGGACTCCCTTGCAAAGGTTAAAGGTCAGTATTCCATGACGTCGACTGTAAAACATAAGTACGTGTGTAATAGGGAAAAAATTTGGGTAATAAAGTAAATACATGTATTACCTGAATAACAGTTAAAGGACAGATGGCTCAGCTGAAAGGAGTAGCAAATCCTTATAATTTAGTGTACATGTACTTGTTTATTAATAGCAAGGTCTTATTTGAGACTCATTGAAGTGAGTGATTTTGTTTTGGTTGTGTTGCAGCTGATGGTTTGCTGAGCTTCAGTTTCGGCAGCGCGCCGTGCCACGGGTCCTTCAGCGCCATGCCGACCTTTGACCCGGGGCTGAGCCTGTCCATGGGAACATCCTGGTCCTTCAACACCGCCATGGGAGAGTCCGTATCAGGTACAGAAAGTTGTTTGTTTGGTTGTTTGTTTGTTTGTTTGTTTGTTTGAAATAAGAAAACATGAAAGAGGAGTAAAGAAATGCAAGAAATACAACATATTGCAGGAGAAAGGGCAAAACCTGGGAGAGTCCGTCTCGAGTACTGCAGTTTCCAACCTTTCAGTCCAATATCTTTTCTATCCTATTTTTTCTTGCAGGTTCAGTTTATTTATTTTACTAGGATATGTTAAGTTTTATACATATCAAGTTATCATGGAAAGTGTGTCCCCCTGACTTAAGTTTGTTCAGTAACATCACACACATTCTAGATTGTCTCTGAAAAGTCTGTCTTTTGCCAGCCTACTCATTTTGCGTTGTTAAATAGCGGCTTCAGCACCAAGGACAGACATCACTTGAAGCCATTCGCAGCATCTTTGGCAATTCTAGAAAAATTTATTTCCCCTTGCTATAAAACTACCTCTTGCTTGTTTTTCATTCTAAATCAATCACGTTACGAAGTTATTGATTGAAAAAAGTGTTATTAATATCAGTGATAAAAGTGTTTAGCTGATGTTGCTGACATAGTTCAGCACCAAGGACAGGGTGGTTATTGTGGAAGTTTTGTGTTGTTGTTTTTTTCAGGAAGAGTTCCCAACACCATCCATAACCCAAACAAAGCCATAGTAACAGTGGATGCTGTTACAACACAGGTGAGACACCCTTGCTTCAGTACAATGCTTCCTTACTGGAGTGCTTGATGTGCATGATAAAGATATACATTTGAAATGTCAAACTCATTGTTATTTGAAACAAGTAATACAACAAAGGTTTTATTCTTTTCCTGGCTGTGAATCCTGGGTCATAACGGGGGACATGGAGAATAAGCTAAACGCGTTCGCCACATCATGCTATAGGGTCATGCTTAACATCAAGCGCCTAGACCATGTGAGCAACGCCTGGATCTACAAGTTGACAAACACTCGACCCCTTATCACCATGGTAAGGCGGCGTCAACTTCGTTTCCTGGGACATGCACTTAGAATGCCTGTGGGGGAACCATGCCGAACATATGCCCTGTATGTACCGACGCACGGCAAAAGGCGCCCAGGGCGCCAGCGACTCGACTACCTGGGCTACGTCCGGAACCTGTTGGGGGACACCGAGGGTGACCTGCGGCCAGAGGACATTGCCAACCTGGCGGCGGATCGACGGTCGTGGGGAAGACTTGTGGTCGACTGCTCCGCAGCCGGACGATGATGATTCTTTTCCTTACACTTGAATATCAAGAATATGCTGTATATTAGTTTACAACAATTTAATACCTTAATGTACATAACTTTACACAGATATCCTTGTGCACTGGTATATCCATAGCTAAAAGATTAAGTACGCAGCTCCAGTTTTTCCAGTTAATTCCAGCTCTGCAGCTGTATCTTAACATGTAGTTAAAAACAAAGCAAAGTTAGGTCAATTTTCTGTTACTTAATGTTCCATCTGGAATTCTAATATTCATAGGCATGTCATATTAACACGGGATCGCTGCTTTACGTCCACACATACATGTATGTTGTGGTGAAATGTCCCTGTGACACCCTTCCCAGATCCTAGTTGCAAACGACATGGCGTGCTCGGCTGTTCGGCTACAGATAATTCTTTTTTTCTTTCTGATTACCTGGATGTCTAACCCTGTAAAATCTCCTCATGCTGTCTTACCCCAGATCCTAGTTGCAAACGACATGGCATGCAAACTGTTCAGCTACAGGGAAACTTTCTTGTATGTCTCATTACCTTCATACGTAACTTTGTAAAATCCGTTCCAGATCCTAGTAGCAAACGACATGGCGTGTGAGCTGTTTGGGTACGGGCAGGACCAGCTGGTTGCCATGCAGCTGTCCCACCTGCTGTCCGGTCATCGCAGCTCCCACCTGGCCCTCACGGAGACTCACCTGGACCCAGCCTCGGGGGAGCTGGTCAGCATCGCGGGCAAAGTGGTAGGTGCTGGTTTACTGCTTCTGGGACAGAAGTACTGTTTTGGGTGGTGCTGATCTATGCTTAGTTTGTATGTATGTCCGGTCATCGCAGCTCCCACCTGGCTCTCACGGAGACTCACCTGGACCCAGCCTCGGGGGAGCTGGTCAGCATTGTGGGCAAAGTGGTAGGTGTTTCTGTTTCCGGGACAGAAGTATTGTTTTGGGTGGTGCTGATTCATGCTAGGTTTGTATGTTTGGGTTCTAAAGTGAGTGGGTAGGGTTGGCTGGGGTTTGACTTGGTATGCCCAAGTTTCAAGGATATGGTTGCCAGTATAAAAAACATAAAACATCATGTGATAGTGGAGTAAGTTCCATCATTCAACTGTATGAGTAATAATGCATTCTACTTGCACATACTAGTAACATTCAAGTAATTACAAAGCAGTAAGCAAAAAGTATACAAAGTATGACAAACTGTGCTCGAAATATTATGTTGGTTGCCCTTTATCAAAATAAACCATTCATAACTGAAGATCTGTGTATGGGTGTCCGTTCAGGTGGATGCAGTGGACTCCACCGGGCTGAGGATCCCCATCTCCCTGTGGATGAAGAGGATTCAGTTTCAGGACCAGTCCCGCTGTGTGGTCGTCATGGAGCCGGTGGAGCGCAGGGTCGCACATCTGCAGTTCGACAGTCAGGTTAGTGGGTACAACTACAGGACCTGGGGTTGAAATTAGTTTGGAGATAATGTGGCGTCTGTGTGTGTAGTGGATAGAGCATCCGACTGTCCAGCAAGGAGACCCAGGTTCAATCCCCAGGGTTGGACCCAGACATGTCCGGATATGCACCCAGATGTTGTGCCCTTGGAAATGGCACTTAATATGTATTTCCCCCTCAGTTAGAGGGATCTGGGCCCTACTAGGGTTTGGGTTGGCGTTAGGAAGAGCATCCAGCTGTAAAAATCTTGCTTAAAAAAAAAAGAGAGACTTGCACTTGGTGCAAGTACGTCTAACCCCCAGTTCAGGGAAAACTGATGTTAAAATTGGTTTTTAAAAAAATGGGTGCACTGATGCACCCACCCAAAAAAATTTTGTAAGAATGTGGGACAACAAGACTTCAACGCACTGAGTGAATTTGGGTTCTCCAGGGCCAACTGGAGGTCTTATGCTGAGAACAGAGCATCTGGGAAGAGGATTGTTTGCTTAATAATATTATAAAATAGTTTCAAAAAAATGTAATAATTGCAAAACAAAAACAGGCAGGACCTACTAGTATCTCCTTCTGTCTTTAGAAATTGAGTTGTGTTATTTTTTCTGACACATAAGTGTTAAGAACATCGTTTACACTAGTGTCACAAAGTACCTTACATAACTCACTAACTGATTGACTCCCAGATTTTTTTTTTTTTTAACCGAATTTAACATCATTTTTCCCCAACCGGGGGTTAGACGTGCTTGCACCAGGTACAAGTCTTTTTTTTGAAGCAAGATTTTTACGGCTGGATGCTCTTCCTAACGCCAACCCAAACCCTAGTAGGGCTCAGGAACCCTCTAACTGAGGGGGGAAATGTGTGTTAAGTGCCTTTCCCAAGGGCACAACGTCTGGGTGCATGTCCGGACCTGTCTGGGTCCAACCCTGGGGATTGAACCTGGGTCTTCTCGCTTGACAGTCGGACGCTCTATCCACTACACCATACAGACGCCACCACCGCCACCACGGCCACCGCCCAGATCTCAGTCAAAATGCTGATATCTTTAATGTTGTGTCCCTCAGGGTCTGCTAGTGGACTGTGATGAGGAGTTCTGCAGTCTGCTGGGTTACGGACAGCCAGCTGATCTACAGGGGTGCCAGGTTCTGAACTTACTGCCTGGCATGGCCATACCCACTGCCAGTACTATCAAAAACAAGGTAAGGTCTGGTTGAAGCACCTATTAGGCCACACCAATTTAATTTCTTGGTTAACGGATTTTTCTACAAAAATAATGGAGCGGGCGAAAAAAAATAAAAGATAAAAACAGGCCTAGGCATCCTATTATGGCCCAAAAGGGTACGATAGGAGCCATGAAGTCAACACACCAGGCTGGTTAAAAATTTAAACAATGAATTTTGAACTTTTAATGATACCACTGCATTGAAAGATGGAATGACTGTAACAAGTAGTAAAAAAAGGACTGTTTTGAACTGTTCAGGACAAAATATGAGCATTTTGCAGTTGATTATTAATTTTTATTTTTATTTGCAAATCAGAAAAAAATGAAGCGGCGAATCCGTTAACCAAGAAATTAAATTGGTGTGGCCTTAGCTCCGTTAACATGGATTCACCATTACTGGCATTAGGTCCAATTTTTTGTGTTGGCCATTAAAGTTCGAACTTGTTTCATAATGACTTCTACCAACACAGATGAACTTTTATTTTTAAATTAGTAAAGTATAGATTCCAGCAACCACCCACTAAAATGGTCAATGGCTTTGCAAAGTCACAGTGTAAAATCCCAAACATACAAAACCAGTAAGAGTCTTGCTTATATCAGCCTATGTATGTGCACTTACAAATTTACACTTTTCAGGATGTTCGTAAGCAGAGAATCACAGGCTGCACAAAAGACGGGAACAGTTTTCCTCTCAGTCTTCTCATAGATCAGGGGGACTCAAGTGAGTTCATTCCTTATATTTTTTAACATTGCAAACACAGAAGGATGGTGGCCTGTATGGTGTTCATATTACACAAGTACACAAAGTTTTGGTTATGTTCTGTTGGTTCGTGAAGAATGACAGAGATCAAAAGGAAATAAGAAGATGCAGTGAAAACAATCAAAATAAAGAATTTATCATTTGGTACACTCTGCTCTGTATGTTTAGTCAGTTTAACCTTTCTGACCACTCAGATTTCATAATGAAGGCAACTTTTTGGGGAGCTCAACTTTTTTTCTCATGCTCATATCAGTTTGGGGTTCCCAGAGGATGTCCGTCATATTTAAAATAGTATGGCCTAACGAAGTTTCTCCCCATTTCAGCTGCGGGTGCACCTTCCATGTACAGTGGTACAGTCTGGTTGCTACACCACTTCCTGAATTCCTCCACATATTGCCCACTTACTCTTCAGGCTTGACCAAGACCCCCCCCCCATCAATCCCTGTCAAAATCACCTTCCACGCACCAGCAAGCATCACTACATGGACAAACAGACACACAAACCCACAACTCAACCACCCAGAACAATACTTCCGTACGCAAAAGTAATAAAATTTCTCACCATTGCAGATAATGTGGACACCCCTGTTGCGTACAGTGGTACAGTCTGGGTGTTCACCAACATCAGCGGGATGATCACACTACAGGAGGACGGGACCATCTTCTCTGTAAACCACTACTTCGCTCTGGCTCTGTTCGGGTACCCCCAGGCTGACCTGGTCGGAAAGGTGAGTTACGAGTGTCCCCAAAAATCAGTTACTCAAGCAACTGGATATGATTTTTAGATGTATATATTACAGTTGCTTGAGTAACTGCTTTTTGGCATATCTTATTACCTGGATGTCTAACCTTCACCAACGTAGTAACAAGCGTGTTATGTTACGAGAAGAAAGAAACAGGCTTTTTGAAACACAATTTTCCTTGCTCTGACTATCAAGAAGACTTTTAAAAAATGCTAGGTGAAAAATGGGCACCTGACTTTGGTAGGGGAGGTAAAAGGGAGTGGAAGGAGTGCCGTTCCCTAGACATAGTGGATCAACAACCCGCCCTTACAGCCTCAAAAAGGCTGTAATAGGACCTTTCCCCAATGAAACTGAAACATTACACATGTAACTAACCTGTTTTCTTCTTTCCAGCCCATAGGTCTATATCACGAACCTTCTGCAAGACTTTGAACAGCATACAATGAGAAAAGAGTTCTGAAGTTTTTTGCAAGATCTTGCGGGGGGATGGATGGATATGGTGTATTTGTTTCTGAATCTTTGTGTACGCCATTTAGCTGCAGATTTACTGAGCTCTTTTCCTGATCTTCTTTCCAGCCTATCACAAACCTGATCCCAGACTTCGAGCGTCACGTAGACCTGATTGACACCAGCTCCATGCCTCTCCCTCCGTTCGATGAGAGCAGCGAAGACGAGATGTCCATGCCTGACATGTCCTCTACGGCAAAAAGCGACGCTCAGAAACTGTCAGACTCGCAAAATGACTCTGAAAACCTGAGAACAAAGCCTGAGGTAAAAAAGGCAGCACCCTTGGTCACAGAACTGTCACACGAACTCTCTAGTAAGTTAGACTCAAATTCACAGAAGGAAGAGAGTCCGTCAAAATGTTTAGAACAACCCCAAAGCAAGGAAGAAAGCAGTAGGTTGTCAGACAAAAAGAGGACAGAAGGTGTTGAAAAAGTGGTCACCCCAGAATGTGTTGAAAGTATTAATGTAAATAATGCAACAAAATTACAAAAGGTTGTATCCGATGGAGTTTGTAAAAAAACTAGTATTTCTGATACTGAGAAGCTTGAAAAGAGCCAACAGACTTGTTCAAGTGATCAGAAGGCAGATAACAATTCAGCTGTGCAGAGAATAGACAGCACAGCTGTTCCAGAGACAGCAGACAGCAGCTGTACTACACAGACAGCAGTGGACAGCAGTGCTGTCACCAAGGTCGCAGACCAGCTCAGTTCAATAACACTAGACAGCGGTGCAGCTGTGCAGGTCACAGATAGTACAGAGACAGCAAGAACAGAAAACAGTTCTTTGCAAAAAAGGGACAGTAACGATAGTGAGGGAGTGGACAATGCTAGTAAAAGCACTGAAAGCAGTGCAGAAGGCAGCAGCATTCTTAGCAGTGCTGTTGTTCAAGTAACCAACAGTAAACCCAGTTCGCAGATAACAGACAGCACCAATGTCACAAAGGAGACAACCGACAACACAGAAGTTAGAACAGACAGCAACCTACCCAATCAGGTTGAGGACTCTTCTGCTGTCACTGGTGACAGCAAACAGTCGTCAGGTAATTGTCAAAAAAGCAGCAGCAGTCCTGGTGTGCAGACAGCCAAGAGCTCAGTGGATCAGATAGCAGACAGTACAGACATTACAAGAACAGATGAGATGGCCCTGCAGTCGCCCGATGGCCACCAGGAGGTGGTTTCCATTAAGGCAGTGAGAAGCAGCACACCTAACCACCTGGGAGATTCTTCAACACACCCCTGGATTAGGTAAATGAATGGTTTATTACGGAGTCAAAAAAGGTGAAGCTTAAACCAACTCCAGTCATGCATAGACCACATTTTCAGTCCTGTCAATTTTTGAGGAGCAACCACTCCCAGTCACCACTGATTTTTGAGTGGTTGTTGAGGTAGTATCACATGTATGTATCGAGTAGGTAAATTTGTGCACATTAAATAGTCTGTGACAGGAGAATAACAAGTCAATATACATACTAGTAGCTAAAATGGTAACTGAGATTCAATGATGTTCAATATAAGTATTTTTTTTCTCGACATTTCAAAATTTAAAATGAATCTTAACCCTACAGCTCAGGACTGGACATGCAGGAAGGCAGCTATGTGGGCTACTGCAGGCACAGGAGCGGGGCCAAGCTGGGTCAGTTTTACTTTTACTCGGGTTCTTAATATTTTGTATGTATAGTTTCTTTTGATATGGGCCAGTTTCACCTGATTCAAGTACGTAAATAAAAGATTATAAAAAGTACTTCATTTCCCATATCAACTCATAGGTTTTGGATAAATACAACAGATTTATATTCTGTAAGTCACTGATGACGAGCAGTAGATGCCTGAAATGACTGGAGTAGCTAGAGTAACAGTTTGTCTTCTGAATTCCCCCGGTTGTCAGGCAGAAGTGACTCCGGTGAAGTGAGGTTGACCACCCCATGTAGCCTCTAGTTGGTATCTTCAACGCTTTCTTAATATGTATCTTATTACCTGGATGTCTAACCTTCATCAAAGTTTCTTCCTTCCCCCTTTAGGTATTTTGTTCCAGATGAAGCGGGTTGTCCTGGACTCCGGGAAGGAGCGATGGTGCATGTGGGTCTCACGGGACCCCGGGGACGAGATCCCCGCCCACTCTCATTCCCAGGTCAACTTCACCCTGGGGTCGTCCCACCTGACCAGCAGCCTGGAGGCCTCCGCTGTCAGTCTGGACAACAAGGTCTGTTATTATTCTGTTTACCAAAGGAAGCGGTAAACATATTGTTTTTGCTCAGTTACCTTTTGATTTGATTTGATATTTTCTTTTGTTGATGTCTTATAAGCCCATTTAGGCTTGGCGGCGTGTAGTCGTAAAACACAATGACAATGTTGTGCTTAATTTGTGTTGATTTAATTTATGTTATATTATCTTTTCTGTATCCTTGTTTGCATTATATTCTTGTTTATTTATTATGGGCTCTCTTGGAAATCAGCCCTGCGGGGCAGAAGAGACTACCCATACGTTGTTAAGATAAATAAATAAATAAATAAATGGCAATGAAGTGGGGCTAAATGCACTGTGTTAGTTTCAAATAAAGATTAGGAAGACAATCATGCTATGTTCTATATCTATAAGCTTTTAAATTAGACGTTTCATCTCTTCTTGAGACATTTGTAGACAAATTTACAGAGTTTTTCTAATACATCATACTTTAACTGAAGACATTGATAAACTGTTGCTTTCTTCCGAGAACTCCATTATTATACTCTTGCCCACTCCGACTGTTTTTATCTTAGCCCATTTTGGAGGCATTGCGTTAATCTTGTCTTTTAAGTTAGTTAATTAGATAGAAGTATTTTAGGTACTCAGTCCTTTATTTTGTACCTTATATTCCTGACGGGTATGTATGTCATATGGGCCAAGTGCCTGAAATAAATTTTAGATAAAAATGAAATAATAAATTTTCATTCACTCATCCTTTCACCAGGCGCTGACGTCCACAGCAGATGCGGAGCACGAGACGGCCGCGGCAGGGCACTACGACCAGCGTTACAGAACACACCAGTGCATCGGGAAGGGGGCCTTCGGGTTTGTGAAGGTGGCAGAGAGGAGGAAGGATGGGGAACAGGTTTGTTTGTACTATCATGAAAGTTCATCTGTGTTGGTAGTTTCATGTTTAAAGTTTAAACTTTTGATCCAACACAAAGAAATCTCTCACCTAGAGCTTTCAACCAGTCACTCTGGTCTTCCTCAGTAGACTGACCCAGTGAGGCTTGTCACGTGAAGTCTACTGAGGAAGACCAGAGTGACTGGTTGAAAACTCTAGGTGAGAGATTTCTTTGTGTTGGATCAAAAGTTTTAACTTTAAACAGGTTTGTTTGTATCGCATAACCGGTAAACCGCCGTTAGGCCTAACACACCAGTTTTGTACAAGTCATGTAAATACAAGCTGCGTAATACTGTAAGGTTTGAACCACTCACACCGAGAAGATCCCCTACTCTTTTCGATAAGTGCAGTGGGTTCTTTGACATGTGTGGGGTGTAAGTTGACCACTCTGTATTAGCTCAGTAACTAGAACACTCTCTATTAGCCTAGTATAGTACCCCTGTATGTTCCTTATGTATGTATGTATATTGTCTAAGTCAAGTAGTGTATCTTTTGTCTCCACTTTTCTACATACGCTTGTTATATGTCTGTTAAGTCTTGACCTGTACTTAGCCCGTCGCGGCATGAATGTACAACAAAGGTATTTTGTCATCATTATAAGGGCAAACCTAAATTTAAGCCCTTCTTTCTTTATTCTTCTGTAGGTTGTTGTGAAGTTTATCCGTAAGGCGAAGGTTCTGGAGGAGAGCTGGGTGGAAGACTCCAGTCTAGGGCGGGTTCCCCTGGAGATATCTCTGCTGGCCAAACTGGACCACCCCAACATTGTCACGGTATGCCGATTTGAGTATTTCATCTCTCTTTCTCTCTCTCTCTCTCTCTCTCTCTCTCTCTCTCTCTCTCTGTCCCTCTCTCTCTCTCTGTTTTTCATGATTGAACAAACCATCAAACAAGCATGACTTCCTCTACATACCATTAGATTTACCATTCAGTGGACTGTTTGGTTTTGGTTGATGTTGCCAGTTTGTACCTCTGTTTCTCTTGACTTATTGGCCATCTTTTCTGTATCTTCTTCTGGTATCTAATAAGCCAACTCATTTAAACTCAGCTGTGAAAGATACATATATGGTGTCTGTATACATGTACATGTAGGATTAGCCCTGACTTATTCATAGTACTTCCAAGATGATACAAAAAAAATCAGAGATGTGAGACTTCCGGGAAGTATTTTGGGTTTAAGTGACCTTCATGTTGACAGGTTGTAGACCTGTTGATGGGGTACCCTTACCTTACCTGGGCCCTTGGCCTCGCGTGGAGCATAGGCCACCGACGATTTCCCTCAATCTAGCTCGATTCTGGGCCTCTCTCTCAATGTCCGTCCAGCACATTCCCAGTTCAGTCAGCTCCCTCTCCGTGTCTCGCCTCCCAGAGTTTCTGGGGCGGCCCCTCCTTCTTTTCCCTCTGGGGTTCCAGGTCAGGGCCTGCCTGGTGGTGCTGACAGCTGGCTTTCTGACGGTATGCCAGATCCAGCTCCGCTTACTTCTCAGGATCTGTATGGCAGCCGGCTCCTGTCCCGCCCTGCTCCACAGTTCTTCATTTCGGATCTTCTCTGACTATCTGTTGATGGGGTGGTATGATTTAATTCAATCGGGCATTACACATCCTGAATTCATCCACATACCGGCCACAATTATCCCCTTAACCATGTACCTGTACCGTATATCCTGTATTTTCTTTTGGCATCTTATAAGCCCACACCGGCTTGCCACATTAAGCGCAAGACAATCATGTCAATAAAGCTTCATTTATTCATCCTTTCATTAACCTATTCATTCATTCCTTCCTTCATTCCCCCACCGCAGATGTTGGAGGCGTTTGAGAACGAGGAGTTTTTCCAGGTTGTGATGGAGAAGCACGGCGGGGGGATGGACCTGTTCGAGTTCATCGACCGCCGGCCTCACCTGGACGAACCGCTGGCCAGCTACATCTTCCGCCAGCTGGCAGACGCTACAGACTACCTGCACAAGCTGGGCATCCTGCACAGGGACATCAAGGTGTGTTTGTTTGTTTGTTTGTTTGTTTGTTTGTTTGTTTGTTTGTTTGTTTAATGTCCTGTCCCTGGCCAGCTACATCTTCTGCCAGCTGGCAGAAGCTACGGACTACCTGCACAAGCTCGGCATTCTGCACAGGGACATCAAGGTACAGCTGTTTTCTAGTAGGCTTTCTTAAACCTGTTAAGGCCACACCGATTTAATTTTATGGATGACATCCTCTGAAGACCCCCAAACTAGTGCGCGCGGGCGAAAAAAAATTAAAATCCGGCCAAAAATAAAAATGCTACAAAACCACAGGAATACAAACCTGGTATTGTGAATTTGGCGCATTACATAGCGACGTATACGACAGGCCGACACATGCTGGATTTTTGCGGAATATATGAATCGACACTGCTGTACGTACATGTATGTACTGAGTTCTTGAGTCTTGGAGCTTCGGTAGCCTGGCTGCCGTCAACCAGAGTTATCACCACCATGCACTACCCAGGCCTAAAGCCAGGCCAGAGCCTCGGAATACGTGTATCTTTTTTTTTTTTTTTTTTGAGATCGGGCGAAAATCAATGCGCGCGCGGATGTCATCCATAAAATTAAATCGGTGTGGTCTAAGTGCCTGAGGAATTATTGTGTCCTGTACACACCACGTACACGTAACATGCATACAGCACTATTCTAACAGCCCGTCCACTTTTAAAGCCCCTAGAAGCTTGATGGCCAACACAGTCAGGACTCAGGAGAATTGGGAACATCTTATCCTGTTGATTAGTGCTTGTGTACCAACATGGACCTGTTATTATCAGACTGAGAACTGTCAGCCTGAGAACCATCGTGTTGGAGGATGCGATGACTGGTTTCCATGGTGACAGAGAATTAGGAGCTCCTGTTGGTCATTCTGGAAATGGTTCTCTTGAGTTAGAGGTGTATTGCCACGCTGAGCTCTCAGGGAGGAGGCCCATCAGCCCCAGATAGGACAGTGAGAGAATGTGTAACACAGGCTACATGTATGTTAGAGGTGTATAGCAACAAGCTCTTGAGGAGGAGGAACAATCAACCCCGGGCAGTGAGAGATTGTGTAACACAGGGTACACTTAAGCCAGGGTACATTTAAACCAAGAAGAATCATTTCTCAAATGTTTTTGTCTCCAACAGGATGAGAACATCATCCTGAATGAGCAGTTCTGGATAAAGCTGATTGACTTCGGCTCCGCTGCCTACACCCTGACAGTGAGAGATTGTGGCTACACAAAGCATATTTTTTAAACCAAGAAGAATAATTTCTTAACATTTGTCTCCACCAGGATGAGAACATCATCCTTAACGAGCAGTTCTGGATCAAGCTGATTGACTTCGGCTCCGCTGCCTACACCCTGACAGTGAGAGATTGTGGCTACACAAAGCATATTTTTTAAACCAAGAAGAATAATTTCTTAACATTTGTCTCCACCAGGATGAGAACATCATCCTGAATGAGCAGTTCTGGATCAAGCTGATTGACTTCGGCTCGGCTGCCTACATGGAGGAGAACAAGATGTTTGCCACCTTCTGTGGGACCATGGAGTACTGCTCACCTGAGGTGCTGATGGGGAACTGGTAAGTTAGCATCTCAACACTGGTCTCTTCTGCATATCCAAAGCTGAACTTAGCCTGCATGCCAGCCTTTTTACATGTAGCTTCAATACGCTTTCTCAATTGCTTCCCTGGGTACCAGCGCTAAAAAGGCTGCCATCTAGGCTAAGCAGTGTTTTGATTTTGTTTTGAGTGTGAGTGTGATACCAGTAGTATCTTATAAATCTGCATTTCTCCTCTGGTCTCTCAGTCACTGACGAAAGCTAGTGGATACTAGCTGAAACGTCTGACGTTTTCAAAATCATATCCAGTTGCTTGAGTAACTGCTTTTTGGCGTATCGTATTACCTGGATGTCTAACCTTCATCGACATACCAGTAGTAGTCCATACCATATCGTAGTTAAGCCACATTTTCTGTTTGTCATCCTAACAAGTTGTGTATATGTTATTAACAAAGATCTAAGGCAGCCTTTTGGTAGACAGCTGAACTTTGCAGGACACATGCAGGACACCTATCCCAAGAATGCCCTCGGTGTACAATTTTATTGTATGATTGATCGTACTACGTACATTTGTACATGTACATGTATGTGACTGAGCCCTCAGTCAATCTGAACTAAAACCCCCATTTTGATGCAAGTTTAACCGTAATTTTCAACACAAGAATTTAGACTTACCTAAAGATTCAACTGCACAACTCCAGTCTTTGTCAAGGAAATTACAGTTTAAACTTGCTTCATAATGACATCTACCAACACAGATGAACTTTCAAGATATAACAACCCCATTTGCTTTACTGCAGGTACCGAGGTCCAGAGTTGGAGATGTGGTCCATCGGGATCACCCTGTACACACTCATCTTCGGGGAGAACCCGTTCTACGACGTAGAGGAAACCATCCGTGCTGTGCTCAGCCCTCCGTTTGAAGTGTCTCCTGGTATGTACATGTACATGATTGTCTAAACTTACTAGTATTGTATGTTTAGTGGGTGATGGATTGTCTAGTAGTACTGAACAGGTAACTCCTTTAAATTACTAGACTGCATTTACTTTTGCAGTGGTCAAAGGAGGTTTACATGGTGTTTGAAATTTGCAGTTAAAATTGGTTTTTGTTGATGTGTCTTATGTTGTGCGCCTATATTTTCGGTGTGGTGTGCATAGTCCAGTGGTTAGCGAACCTACCTCTGGAACAAGAGTTTGGGAATTTGAATCCCAGCTGTTGTCGCTCTCCCAACATGCACACACTACTGGAAAGGGTCATTGTTGTGTCTTTCTTTCAGAGCTGATAGACCTGATCTCGTGGTTGCTGCACCCTTCCCCCACCTACCGCTGCACCATGGACCAGTTGATGGACCATGACTGGCTCCACCAGCCCTGCAACCCACAGGAGTACAGCTGGCAACATGTTCTACCAGACGGTATAAACTTAACTCCCTTACAAACTAACCCACATGTCCTGCCAGATGGTAGTGTGTGTGTGTACATGTGTTTGTGTGTGTGTGTGTGTGCGTGCGTGTGTGCGTGCGTGCGTGTATGTGTGCGCGCGTGTGTGTGTACATTGTACATGTGTGCGTGTGTGTGTTTGTGTGTGTACATGTGTGTGTGTGTACATGTGTTTGTGTGTGTGCACACGTAGAGGCCCGCATGTGTGTGTGCATGCATACGTGCATGCGTATGTGTGCACAGGCGTGTGTGTGTGTGTATATATGTGTGTGTGCGTGTGTGTGTTAGGTTAGGTGTGTTTCATTTGTTCTGGACATGCTATGGTCTTGTTTAAATCATTGAATAAGTCTGTATTCTATTCCGTTTCTAGCATAGCGATTTACATAACGTAAGATGATATCAAATATAGGTAAGTTGATAATCCTCTATCTCTTTGCTGTACAGAGGAGGGCCACCCAGAGGAAGGCATGGTGCCCCTGGGGAGTGACAGCGAATCGGAGGTGGAGGAGCTTCAGCAGCAGCTGCAGAGATGTCTCAACGACAAGGCAGGCTTGAACATGTCCATCTAACAACACACTGACAAGTCAGGCTTGAACATGTCCATCTGATTATCACCAGTGATAACACACAGACCAACAAGGCAGGCTTGAACATGTCCATCTGAGAACACACCAACAAGGCAGGCATGAACATGTCCATCTACATGTAACAATAGACAAGGCAGGCATGAACATGTCCATCTGACATCCTACTCAAACACATTCACATATATGGTGACAGGAGTCTAAATTCCTACTACTATAAAATTGCAACATGATGTAACCCAACACCAGTTACCATGGTGCCAGCCGTCTGGTTCAGTCAGGTCAGAGGTCACTGTTTGGAGAAGAAGAGGAAACGTAGCAAAAACAATATATTTTCCTTCGGTAAATGTAATGAAGGACTTTTACACTTACAGAGGGGAATGTAATTTATCTTTCTAGCCCATCTAGATTTTTAAAATAGAAATATACGAAGGTGAGATCTTTGTGCCTTTAGAGTTATCTAATATATAGCTTAAGTCATGACCTTATGTCTCACAAGTGGTGAAGAGGATAGTATTTAGCTACATAGGAGCTTGAAGTTGAAGTTGGCCTGGATTGCTGCATTAGCCATTGATTAATTGTGACTGATAAAAGTGGCATGTTGCTTTGAAGACCCTTCTCATCAGTATTACTACAGTTTATGAAAGCCATTACATTTTATTTAGTTTTTTGTCTGTAAACTAATTTGAATCAATTGAATGTGTGATTTGAATGTACTTCTAAGTTGGTCTTTACAATTCTCCATCCATCCATGTGTGAGCGAAGCAGCTTTTCTTTTCTAAAACTCATGAATGCCTCAGATAGGATACAGAATTGAATTTGTGTGTGAATTACTTTTTATAATTTTCTCTGTGCAGTTTCCTTCGCAGTACTTGAATGAATTGTTGCTCATTTTGTCATAATGATTCCATTTGGTTTGTTTGTGATGTTATGAGTTGAATAATTTATAAGTTCTTTGGTATGATTTTAAAATGTATTTTTGTGTGTGCCCAGCATTACATATTAGGTATCATAACAAGTAGAATACTGTACTATGTTTGTTTGTTTGTTTGTTTGTTTGTTTGTTTGTTTGTTAGGACTGAAGTCTGAAATGCCCATGGCCAGTATCAAATTATGTAAGGAATTCAAAGCTATCAGCAATGCATCAATACTGTCATCTACAATATTTACAACTTAATTGGTAATAGTTAGATTTGAAGAAGATACCAAACACCTAACAATGGGACCAACTGTATACAGTTTAGAATGTATACTACAAACAACATTTTAAGGACCAGTAGTCAGTAATTCATCCTTTAATGTGCTTCAGCCTTGTGCTGATCTCCAATCGAAGTCAGTTTATTATAGTATTGGGGTAAAGATCGTGATCTTAACGACATATATTTAATGTGTGCATTAAGGCTACACCAATTTAATTTCTTGGTTAACGGATTTTTCTAGAAAAATAATGGAGCGGGCGGGCGAAACAAAAATAAAAAATAAAAACAGGCCTAGGCATCCTATTATGACCCAAAATGGTACGGTATAGGAGCCATGAAGTCAACACACCAGGCTGGTTCAAAATTTAAACAATGAATTTTGAACTTTGAATGATACCACTGCATTGGAACATGGAATAACTGTAACAACTAGGAAGAAAAGGACTGTTTTCAACTGTTCAGGGCTAAATATGAGCATTTTGCAGTTGATTCTGAATTTTTATTTTTATTTGAAAATCAGAAAAAAATGAAGCAGGCGAATCCGTTAACCAAGAAATTAAATTGGTGTGGCCTAAACAATTGAGATACTTGGTAGCAACAGTCAGTCTACATCAAAAGAGTAGCCCTATTGGTTGCATTTTGTTGCTTGTAAAAAAAAACATTGTGTAAATGCAATTTTAGTGTTTGCATCTTTGTGTATGATGTACTTCCACGTGAAAAAAACTACATGCTGCACTGTGTCTTTTTCAAGACTGGGTTGTTTATTTTCTCAATCAAGAAAAACAATCTGGTGTACAATTTGCATCCCCAAACTAGACAGGGGGAGTCAATGTGAACAATGTAGATAACTACAACACTTGCTACAATCCAAAAACGGACACAGAATATTATTCATTTCATGTTTATTTAATATTTTACGATGTGAGGGTAACCTCATACAGCATAGTGTTGATTTCCAAGGGGGTACTGGAATTTATTCTCAGTTCGACTGGGTGATCGTAATCTCTGGAAAATTGGTGTTTATTCTATCACCAGTTGTTGTAGAAGGTCACATTAGATCATGTATGAAACTGGGTGACGTGATGACACACTAGGCACTGCCGTTGACCTGGAGAGAGAAAGAGAGACTAGTTTATTTGTGCCTTACAAAAAGTACACACAAAAGCCTGCAAGCAGCCATATTTGGCTAAATTGGGAAGGCTTTAAAACACAACACAAAATTCGCTTATAGATTAGCTATTTGATAAAGATTCTTTACATTTGATAGCAAAACTATTCGTTACATATCTAAGTTTACATTAAAAATTAAAAAAAGTAAATTAAAAACGTTAAAAATACAATAATGCAATATAAAAACAATTGAATGTTTCTTACAAGTTAACATTACAGAAATAGTCTAGGGGTATAATATGCAGGGTTGTATATGTGAAACTGATGAAGTGAATCATTTTTCACCATTCAAAAGCTTAAAACAGTACGGCAGAGTAGTGTTCAAGAAACGGGACGTTCTACACCTAAACTGGCTTATGTCGTGCGAATTTCTGAGCTTTCTGCCATGTACATCAACCCGGCGTGAGGGTAGCCAAGAGACAAAGTCGGACTCACCTTGGACTTGGTGAGCTGCTTCATCTTGAAGGTGAACATCATGGCGGCCAGGAAGATGACCCCCACGGTCACACCCACGACGGCAAGCAGGCCCTGGCTGCTCACCATCACACGGATCTCGGCTGAGGGAGAGATAAAACCCTTAAAATTCTATTGTTGAAACGAAAATTACTAAATTTAGGCAAAAAAATGAACCCGTTGCCGTGCCCACGGCAAAATAAAGAATTATTATCTTATTCTACTAATACGAATTGTTGCCAGCAATATGTTAGGAAAAGTCACCAAGTTTGGTGGTTCTAGCGCAAGCTGTTCAGACGCTATCCGACATCAAAGTTGGCGCGGGCACTTTTAGCCCCCCCCCTCCGGTCTAGATAGGGTTTTAAGGGTGATACAAATCTATCGTTGAAGAGGTTCATCAGTCACGGAGAATTAACACTTGGTAGAAATTCTTCGATCAGTGACTGTATTTTGTAAGGTAAATCACGTACCTCCAAAAAAGTGTTCTCGCGAGACTAGGTCATTCCGTAATCAACACCGAAAATTTGGAGGTACGTGATTTACCTTACAAAAATACAGTCACTGATCGCAAGAATTTCTACTAACTGATACAAATCTAATTCTGTCTGCAATACAGATACGCTCAGCGACTGATGATAGTACAAAAGGGGTCTAAGAAAGTGATGGCGTTGCCCCTGGTGACGGTTACCTGGGCGACGGAGGGTGATGGGCACGTCGGCGCTCCTCCTGCTCCTGCTGACCTCGCGTGCCCTGTCTGGGAGTAACAGGTAGACAGGGCGTTCTGCACGCACGTCTGGTACTGAAGCACGGGCAGCTCACACTGGTCAGTCGCATCTACACAGGGACAGGACAACTGTGTGTTAGTGTTAGGGACATGACAACTGTGTGTTAGTGTTAGGGACAGGACAACTGTGTGTTAGTGTTAGTGTTAGGGACAGGGCAACTGTGTGTTAGTGTTAGGGACAGGACAACTGTGTGTTAGTGTTAGGGACAGGACAACTGTGTGTTAGTGTTAGTGTTAGGGACAGGACAACTGTGTGTTAGTGTTAGGGACAGATGTTTGTTGACCTTAGACTTAAAAGTCTAATTTGAATGTGGGATTCTGTTCAGTGTTCACGCTATCTGGCTGAACTCCATCCTGTAGGTTTCACGTCCTTAGCAGAATCATATATATGGGATGGCAAAAAGACCGGCTGGGAATAACTTGTCTATGTCTATAAGCAAGTTGTTGTTACAGGCTCCAGCTGTCCTTTCTCCATAGGGCCATAGCCCTATACAACAAAGAACTGTCACATCACTAGTTTTATCTTTCCTAAACCTCATCTGTATAAAGTTTTTTTGCTTGGTACAATGAGGTATATGAGGTACTTGGTATATGAGGGATTGTATATATCGCTTGTCCTGCCTATTGTAACTTTTTTTTCTGTACGCAAACTCTTTCAATTCAGGGATTATCATCCCTGCTGCAAGGTTTGCTTTTTGGTGTGTGTTGAAATAAATAAATAATTTTTAAAAAAAGGTACGTACGGGTGCAGACGGTGGCGGTGATCGCGTCCATCTGGGCGTCCAGGGCGTCGAAGTCGGCCACGGTGGTGACGTACTGCGAGGTGCTGGCGATCTGGTTCAGCTCGGCCTGGTCCACGTTCCCGCCCACTCCGATGGCGTACATGGTGATGCCCAGGTTCTGAGCTGCCTGGGACGGGGCTGGTATAAAGCAAGAACGAAGACAAATCATGAAAGGAATTAAAACTAGAAAGGTAACATTTGCAAAGCTCCACATGGGTACTCACATTGGTACAACTTTAAAACGATGCAACTCACTCAGATTTACATTGGAGATACCAAGCGCTGCTATAGCTCTGCTTGACTGTTTCTAACAGTCAATTAGATATAGGAGTCCAAATACTACGTACGTGTTAATGGGCCTAAATTCTCCTCCTAGCTCTGATTGGCGATGTTTTTTCCGCCAATGAGATATAGGAGGATACCACGCAATCTTATCTTTCAAATAGCTTTGTTAGCATTTAATTTAACATATAAATGTCTTGGGGTGGCGGGACTACGGCGCACAGATATGTCAACTTTGTATATTTAAATGTTAATTGTACTTTTTTGTTGTGTGGCGCTGTTAATATAAGTTGTAAACTTGAGTGCAGCGCCACACTGTCCTTTGTTATGTTTTCATGTTTTGATGAATAAAAAAATTAACATTGTTTTACCCGCCACGTCGTCGCTGGACTGCCCGTCGGTGACCACGATGGCGATTTTCTGGACGTTGGGTCTGAACTGGCTGAAGTCCTTCATGTAGGTTATGGCGGCCCCCGTCAGCGTGCCGCCGCCCATGTACACGATGTTGTCGATGGCGTTCAGCACCGCGGCCTTGGTGTAGTGCGCGTTCAGCGAGAACTCCTCCTGTACCGTGGAACTGTACTGGATCACTCCAACCTGCATGAGAACAAGAAAGAACCGTTTTCAGAAGATTTTGTTTGTTTGTTTGTTTGTTTGTTTGTTTGTTTGTTTGTTGTGGTGTAGTGCGCGTTCAGGGAAAACTCCTCCTGTACCGTGGAGCTGTACTGGATCACTCCAACCTGCATGAGAACAAGAAAGAACCGTTTTCAGAAGATTTTGTTTGTTTGTTTGTTTGTTTGTTTGTTTGTTTGTTTGTTTGTCTTTATGGCGTTCAGGGAAAACTCCTCCTGTACCGTGGAGCTGTACTGGATCACCCCGACCTGCATGAGGACAAGAAAGAAGTTTGTTTGTTTGTTTGTTGTTGTGGTGTAGTGCGCGTTCAGGGAGAACATTTCCTGTACCGTCGAGCTGTACAGGATCACTCCAACCTGAGGGAAAAATTATTTCTCACGATCAGTATCGGACTTGACAATGGTAGTAAAGAACAATAAAACAATGTCTGTATCCGAAATTACCGATTTGACTCTTATTTACTATGTTTTTTAAAATCAGCTACTGTTTACAAAGTAAACATTACCCGACTTTACTGGCATTTGCTACCATCGGTAAATCCTACTTTTTTCGTGCAGTTTCTTCTTCTTCTTCTTCCGGTAATGTCCAACTGCCGATACCGGCAATAATTGACATGTCTCGGGTCGAAGGTCACCAGCACAACTGAGGCTAGGCCGGACTGGACACCCTCGAGATCGAGACAAAGGTGGCCAGAGACGGGGATTGGACAGTGTCTGTGGGCAGGGCGTGCCAATCACGAATTGTACGGGGGAACAAAGGAGTAGTGTTTGTAGTTCGTACGACACCTAGTTGTGTGCCTACCTTAGTATCCGTTGCGCTGATGGGAAACTGCGACACGACGTTCTTCATGAAGGTCTTGACTTTCTCGAACTCGGAGGCGCCGACGCTGCCGGACCCGTCCACCACGAACACCAGGTCCACAGGCACGTTACAGTCGGGGTTGGCAGGGTCGATCACTGGGTTCACGGTCAGTTGGGCTGCAGGCAACAAAGGCGCGGTTTCAATTTATCTATTTAGGCTATGTTGATTTGATTATATGGATGACATCCGCACGCGCATGAATTTTCGGCCGTTTCCAAAAAAAAAAGTTTCCAACCACACTTTAAATTGTACAAAACAGTTGCAAAATGAGCAAATATATACCGAAAGTTGCAAAAAAAAATATTTGAAAACGATTCCAACGTCGTAGAATGCCAAAATCAAACAAGAAACTAAAATGCAAAGAAATGAATTTAAAGAGTAGATTATTCGCCATACCATACTCTGTGTCATTTGTTAGACCTTCATAACAACGTAGATTTTATGAAAGCAACTTTTTTTTTGCAATACGTTTTTTTTATTCGCACGCGCGAATCAGTTTTGGGGTTCCCAGAGGATGTCATCCATATAATCAAATCAACATGGCCTTAATAACCAGCAGTGATACTCAGGTACAAACCAGCAGTGATACTCAGGTACATCACGTACGGTACCATCAACTTAGTCTGGAACCAATTCCAACGTAGAGATAGATTGCAGCTGTTTTTCTTTTTATTTTATTCAGAAAAACAGTAATGAATACAAATGAAAGGAAACATACAAAGTGACGGTTCGGCTCAGCGTATTTTCACGCAGCCACTTTTACAATGAAAAATAAATGAACGTATTTTACACTTTTGAAAAGTGTGGATTCATAAGAGACCTAATTGTTAATTTTTCGTTGATGCAAACAGCCCGGCCGGGCCCCGGTTTCTAAATGTGACCTCAGCATAACGCAAACTACGATCTTCTGAATGTTACTGAAGTTTATGGGGTAAATGTGACTGTCGTTTAGACTAACTTGTTCCTGGTGCGGCGGAGGCGGCGGGGTCTCTCGCCCAGTTCAAATCTGAACTGGCGAGGACCCTGCTGCATTGAGCCACCCCATCATGTCTTGTATATATGTAAATATTACTTACGCACTAATGCACTTGCCCCGTCTTTAGCACACATAAAATCAGTTGTTTTATGTTCCCTTCTGGGTTATCTCTTTTTTTCCCTTTGTTTTTTATGTACCGGGTCACAGTTGTAACTAACAAAGCGCAACAGCTGCCAATAATCCTACACTGTAGGGCTGGGCAGAAATGAAGAAGAACTTACTGCAGACACCACAGAAAGCGTGGCAGGCGGCCTGTACATAGTCCACTGAGCAGGAGTCTACGGTGGGCCAGCCGGGGTTCGCTCCGCACAGGGTGCTGGAATCCGCGCACACGTCTGGGGGAAAGGAAACACAACACATGTCTTACTACAAGTTCATTTTGTTCAAAGCACATTGAAAATTAATTTCACTTAGTTATGGAATGCACCAAATATGATGTTTTACGTAATAAGCTATTTATATTTCTCGAATCAAGTACAACAGATTTCAAGAGTCTCGATGCTATAGACATATTTGAATATATCTTTACATGTAATGATTCCCACAATGCAAAAATAGGTAAATATATAAAAGATTGTTTTGCTATAAGAAAAATACCAAAACGCGTGATTACCCCCACTCGATTGTAACACATTATCAAAGACTTGTGCTAGCTCTAATTGTTTGAGTAATTAGGACATGTTACGTTTTATTCTACATTAGGTCTTATTGAACACATTCATTTTATTGTTTTTTGTTGTTGTTTGTACTTTGCCATACATTGTACCATGTACAACTGTCGTGCAATAAAGTTCTTCTTCTTCTTTTACAAAATCTCTATCTATCAAGGACAAACAGTAGTGCTCACACTGTACGAAAAGTCGGATTTATCAATGTTCAATAAACCTAACCCGACTAAACTGGCATTTACTACCCTTAACTTAAAACGTAGTTGAGTATCAGTGTCCAGTATGGTCCGGTGATTTGATTTGACTATGATTAGTGGCAACACAGATGAACTTCCATGATAAGATGTGGACTTTTTTAAAGCCAGTGCAATTTTTAGGGCTTGGAAACCCGATTTTTCAAAGTCAATATTCTGGTCACTTATCTACATAGCGAGTTGAAACCACACTGTCACAATGTATATTGACCCTCATGGAGCAAATCTACCCAAAATTCTGACGGAAAATGGTTAATGGAAGGGCCCTTGGTTTAGGGTACCTCCCTTAAAATAAAGGACTCATCTTAGGGCTTGTTTCTCCAGTTTTAAGTACCCAAAGTACTACATGATTAAAATGTGCTAATGTGACGCAGTATGTGTCAATATCATAAAGATTTCTTTATTAAGAATAATATTTCCAGTTTTGCTGCTCTGAAATCGCATTGGATGCCTTTAAAACCTTACCTGAGCAAGTCGGGCCATCCCAGCCGTCGGCACAGTGGCATGTGCAGGTGTTGGGGTCCACAATACCTCCGTTGGCGCAGGCCAGGGAACAGACTAGAGGAAGATAGCAGAAGGCGGTGTTAGCATTTCTACATCATGGTGCACAAACGAAAGAACCATGGCAATATATACATTTCATCGTTTACGAGATGTCATACATTACCTGTATGAATGTATCAACGAAGAATGAATTTTTAGACCAAATGCTCGCACAAACTTTAATTGTGTGCAGGAAAAACATGCCATTTATGTTGTAAAGAGGTAACACACTTATAGTCTAATCTGCGTATATGGAACTTGTAGAGCGGACCGTAAAGTAAAGACGTAGGTAAAGACGACGTGTAAGGTGCCGTGAAATTGCTCCGAGATGTTCTTAAAACCCTTGTCCTGCTGTGCGCAACATATGTCGCGCGGCACATACAGTACCATCTATATAACACCCTGTATAGGTACGATTTGGGGGTATTTCTCGTGCAACGCATCACACCGCAGCGAAACGCAACGAATGCGGAAGTAACTATGCCACTGCAGGGCAAAAAAAATTGGGGGTCTATGATCTAATTAAGACATGAAATTATTGAAAAATATTGTGCCAGGAATGCCAGCAGGACAAGGGTTAAAGGGGCTCAGTCCAACATTAGGTCCTGCTCGGGATTCGAACCCAGAACCTTTAGATTCTACTTCAATAGCCCTAACCACAAGACCAAGTTGCCACGTCGCCAAATACTTGGAAGAATGTATCTAAGCCCTTAAAAGTTCAGTCATGAGAAGCTCGAATTAGCGTGAAGACCGCTTTTCATTGAGGTCATGAGGGAAGAGGTAAGGGTCAGACAAAATAAATAACAAATATACAACGCAAATAAATAGCAAAGATCATAATAAATTCATACATCTGTTTTACGCATACATGGTACAAAATACGTACGCAAGAGTGAGAGCAGATACATGGTTTATAATAGGGTCCGTTCCTTTTTGTAAGCAAAGAATACTGCTAAGTACCTTCACAGGTGGGTCCCGTCCATGAGCCTTGACAGACACAGTCGCAGGTGTCCTCTCCCCAGAGGTTGGGATCGTCACCGCGGCTTCCACCGTTCTTACACTCGGGGTTGGTGGGGCAGGCTGGAAGGGGAAAACGGGTATGTTAGTTGCCATGCATTGTACAATGTACAATTCTCGTGCAAGAAAGTTATTCGGAAGATTCCTTGTTCATCGTTACTCTCCAAGCAGAGGTTGTGGGGGAATGATCGTTACCTTTTTATATATCATTTTTGGTCCTGACCCCCACCCCGTCGGTGGCTGCGGACCTTCTCTGGCTAATGGATACTGCCTGGCCAATTTGATACTGTCTTTTTTGCCACCGATAGGGATCTGCTTGGAGATTAGTTCTTCGTGTCTTATAATACTGATGATCCTTATTAACATGTTCCTGCCCACATGGGCCCAATGGGAGTTTACTTTGTAAACAGCATCGGACTTATCAATGGTAGTAATTTCATTTACTAACCATTAGTCCATTACTGTTCACAACGTAAACATTACCCAACTTAACTGAATATTTACTACCATTGGTAAATCCAGGTTTTTGTGCAGTGATGTGGGATGAGAATATACGTACAGCAGTGAGTGAGTGTGTGAGTGAGTGAGTGAGTGAGTGAGTGAGTGTTTGAGTGAGTGTTTGAGTGAGTGAGTGAGTGAGTGAGTGAGTGTGAGTGAGTGAGTGAGTGAGTGAGTGAGATTGAGTGAGTGTGAGTGAGTGAGTGAGTCAATGAGTCAATGAGTGAGTGAGTGAGTGAGTGAGTGAGTGAGTGAGTGAGTGAGTGAGTGAGTGAGTGAGTGAGTGAGTGAGTGAGTGAGTGAGTGAGTGAGTGAGTGAGTGAGTGAGTGAGTGAGTGAGTGAGTGAGTGAGTGAGTGAGTGAGTGAGTGAGTGAGTGAGTGAGTGAGTGAGTGAGTGAGTGAGTGAGTGAGTGAGTGAGTGAGTGAGTGAGTGAGTGAGTGAGTGAGTGAGTGAGTGAGTGAGTGAGTGAGTGAGTGAGTGAGTGAGTGAGTGAGTGAGTGAGTGAGTGAGTGAGTGAGTGAGTGAGTGAGTGAGTGAGTGAGTGAGTGAGTGAGTGAGTGAGTGAGTGAGTGAGTGAGTGAGTGAGTGAGTGAGTGAGTGAGTGAGTGAGTGAGTGAGTGAGTGAGTGAGTGAGTGAGTGAGTGAGTGAGTGAGTGAGTGAGTGAGTGAGTGAGTGAGTGAGTGAGTGAGTGAGTGAGTGAGTGAGTGAGTGAGTGAGTGAGTGAGTGAGTGAGTGAGTGAGTGAGTGAGTGAGTGAGTGAGTGAGTGAGTGAGTGAGTGAGAATATGGGATGAGAATATACGTACAGCAGTGAGTGAGTGTGTGAGTGAGTGAGTGAGTGAGTGAGTGAGTGAGTGAGTGTTTGAGTGAGTGAGTGTGAGTGAGTGAGTGAGTGAGTGAGTGAGTGAGATTGAGTGAGAGTGAGTGAGTGAGTGAGTGAGAGTGAGTGAGTGAGTGTGTGAGTGAGTGAGTGAGAGTGTGAGTGAGTGAGTGAGTGAGTGAGTCAATGAGTCAATGAGTGAGTGAGTGAGTGAGTGAGTGAGTGAGTGAGAATATGGGATGAGAATATACGTACCGCAGGTGCCGCAGAACTCGGGGCATGCGGCGAGCACGTAGCCCTCGGAGCAGAGGCTGATGTCGGGCCAGCCGGGGCTGTTCCCGCACAGGCTCACGGTGTTCTG